TTAAGCATCGCTACTGAATATTTCGTGTGAGGATAAACCCGCTCGATCTTCTTAGACATCCCCGACACGCTATTTTGATGCGGTAGGTAGATTTACGTCATCGTGGAAGGAAGGAGACCCCACTACTGAATTGTGGCGCCACGGGTCATTTATCCAAGGCATTCCCTAAAGAGAATTCGTCACCAGAGCCCAAAGCATCATCATTGGAGTAAGCAGTGGAGACAGATAAAGACAATAAAGCCCCTAAACGTTAGAAGTTGAAGGAGGTGGAGAAGAAGGGGACGAAAGTTGCGTCCACAACCTCGACTTTCCAGCAGGATACCCTTGGCAAGAAGCAATCGTCCTCCCAGAAGAAGCAACAACGGAAGGAGGGGGAGAAGAAAAAATCAAAAAGATCATCAGCAGCAGCAAGAACAACGACAACAAAAACGGCAACAGCAGCAACGGTTAGAAGTGGAGATGCAACCAACTAGAGCAGCGTCGCTGAAAAGCGGAAAGGAAGACATATTTAAGGAGGAGAGTGCCAAAAAGAAGGAGAAAAGAACTGAGCGAAGAAGGGCAGAGAAAATGCTGGAAACTATAAAATCCCAATCTATCCCTTCTTTGTCAATTAGACAAGAACCGTCAGGTAAGACAAGGATCTTTTCTTCCTCTAGGATTCCGGCAACCTTGTCCCTCTGCCCGTTCTCGAAGAAAAGTCCTTCCCAAAGGTATTTGTAAAGTGGACAAACTGGTGTTTGACAGTGACCTTTTTTCGCATAGAAAGGCCCTCCTAAAATCGTTGTTAAAATTAACCTCTGTGGACGGAAAGTTATGCGCTATGTGTGTCATGTGATCAACCCGTCGTTGCAGCTGCTGAAGAAAAATTGATACGATTATAGTTCATTCTCCTTTGATTAGGCGCGCACCCTTATTTGGTTGATTGGCTAAAAACCAAGTTATATGTCAAAATAATTTCAACTATCTTTTTCTGGGAGTTCTATCTGTTACCACTTTAAGACTTCCTTGTTCCTTAATCACTCCGTCCATAAATTTTCAGTATTGTTCTATTTTTGCTGCCTATAGTTTTCCCCTCACCCGTGGGGAGATTTTGCCCACCGTACACTGTCATATAAGAGGATGGGTAACATATAGCAATCCAGCACTCTTTTTTTTTGTTTCTAGTTAGCATACACAAAAATATTTAAAAAAAAACAAAAAAAAAAAAAAAAAAAAAAACATTACAAACTGGGCCATAAAATTTCTTTCAATTTTTACACCTCATTACTAGACGGAAGAACTGCAGAGGTGACTAACAGACAGGACAGAAAGGTCTCCAGATAGACTCAACAGCCTAGTGTACGGACTGAGGATGACCCACACCATATTCCGTGGTCTTCGGCTGTAAGTCAAGAGCTTGAAGAGGAGATGGGCGCTGCCAAAGGATCTGAAAGTCCAATGAAAAGATCATAAAGAAAGAGAATCAAATCAAAATCATGCCGGATCAACCGAGGCCCGATCAAAATCGGGTCCCATTGATTCACTACAGGATGAGCATGATAGTTTGTCGACTAGAGTGATAAACAAACTCAAACTACCAACTCAGGATACAACCATCGGAACATGGAACGTTCCTCTATTCCTGCGGCAGAATTCAAAAACTCACGAACTGGGACCCTATCGACGGGACATCATTGGTCTGTCCATTCAGATAGACTGGCATCGGTGAAACATCAAATGGTTATCTGGAGAGGAAAAGAAACATCAGTATGAATTGTCATTCAATACCAGGAAAGAGATTGCAGGAAGTGTCATCAGCTGCACTCCTATTTTCAACAAAATCATCTCCATCCGTGTATCAGACAAACCGCACAACATGACTATCAACTAGGTTTATACACCAAGTTCAGAACACGATAATGAGGAAGTCGATAAGTTTATTAATTTATATAATCCACCATAGCGGAATTCTTCAAGAAAAACATCATCATTGTACAAGGGGATTGGAATGCCAAAGTAGGCCCAGGTGTATAGAAGAACTGGGTAGGAACAGTCGGGAGATTTGACAGGGAGACCAATGTCAGGGACCTTAAACTGCTTGAGTTTGCCACTGCCTCACCTTAATCAACACTCTACACCACTATAAGCTGTCTCGAGCCGCAACATGGCACTCACCTAACGGACAAGTCCACAACCAGACTGACTTCATTCTGGTTCTGCAACTCTTCAGGCCAGCGTGAACAAGGCGAAAACAAGGATATTCCCTGGCGTAGACATAGCGATCATGAACTTGTGATGACAACCTTTAAGCTAAAGTTGAAAACTAAGTGTTGCCCTAAGACCCCCCGCATCCGCTTTGACCTTGGGAAGTTGAAGGATCCTGAAGTCTACGTTTTTCAGGCCCAAGCCGGCGTCAAGTTTGCAGACCTAAACCAGCTTGACAGCTAGATAGACACTTTTGCATTTTAAATCAAAGTCCTACTAATAATAACTGAAGAGATTCCGGGAACGCCACAGAAGAAAATTCAGCCGTGAATCTCAAAAGTCCTGAATTCATGCAACAAGAGGCGAAAGCTAGGAGGAAAGAAGCACTGAAGTGATGAGGCTCGGGCAGTACCGTAACGTACACAGAGAAGTCGGGAAGAAGTTACGAGCAACCAAAGGAGTGAATAGAAAAATAGTGCAGCGCAACTGAGAGGGACATAAAATCAGGTGACAGCAAGAAAGCCTACAATGCCCTCAAATCGTTCACCAAATACATCCAGCCAGCCAAGAGCAAGCTGTCATAGATGACAAAGATGGCAAGCAACTGACAGAGTGGAATAGGTGAACCGAATACTACGACGGCCTGTACAATTACGAGCTCCATCCAAATATCTCTTTACTGCAAGCCGACCAGTACCCCACATAACGTAAAGACTGTCCGCCAATACTGAAAGAGAAGGTAGACATAGCAGTAAGGAGCCTGAAACCTGGCAAGATACCTGGAGTGGACAATGTACTCTCTGAATTGGTGAAAAATGGAGGTGAAAAAACTGTTCAGGCTCTAACAGCTCTATGCTAGCGGATTTGTGAACAGAAGTGGCCAAAAGCATAGATCTAGTCATTGGTGATACCCCTACCAAAGAAGGATAATCTCAAACAATGCCAGAATTATAGAACTAAGTCTGATCAGCCACCCCAGCAAGGTCACGCTCCGTATTATTCTCAACCATCTAAAATTCAAGACTGAAAAAACTAATGTCAGGAGAGCATACAGGTTTTAAAGCCGGGCGTAACACAGTGGAACAAACCTTCAACTTTATAGTGTCCTAATCGAAAAACTGCAAATATCTGACCTGTTCCACGATTTCATTGATTTCAATGAAGCATTTGATCAGGTATGGCATGATGGACTCTGGCACGTCCTCAGAGGATTCAACATAGAGAAGGGGCACATACAAGTCATACAGGCCCTCTATAACCGTGCCACCAGTGAAGTTCTCTTTAGTAACTAAGTGGGTGGTTTCTTTCAGAGGACTATCAGTGTTAGACAGGGATACCTCCTCTCTCCAATACTCTTCAACCTGATTCTGGAGATAATTATGCAGGAAACCCGCCATGACCACAACAGATCTTTTTCTATCGGTGGTAGACCTGTTTACAAACTGCTTTTCGCAGACGATATTGACCTTATGGCGGGCATTAACAGTGAGCTGCATGACCTGACCAAAAAACTCGTTAAAAGAGCCGGCGCATAACGAATGGAATTCATCACGGAGAAACCCAAAATAATGATGAATAGCACAAGCAACGCAATTCCCACCGTCACCATGGACGGTGAAGCACTGAAGAAAATATCCAGCTTCAAATTCTTAGGAACAACCCTGTCAACAGATGGCACCTGCAATCTGTACACGGACACAGCAGCGATGGCCAGACAGGAAAGAATATGGAAGATCAACATCAGCTTCCATACCAAGTTTAAGCTCTACAAATCGCTATCCATCCTCCTCTACGGGTGTAAGACCTGGACACTTCTGGTTGAGACAAAGAAAAAGGATCCAGGCGTTCGAGAACAAATACTTGAAAAAGCTCTTCCGCATCTCCTTTTGGGAGCACAAAACCAATAACTATGTACGGAGCAATTTCAAAAGTTTCGCTGGCCGACAGGATTTTCTCTTTGGTACTATTAAGCGTCGGAAGATGGCATGGTTTGTATACGTCACACGGCATAACAGCCTCTGTAAGACTATCACGCAAGGCATTGTTGAAAGCAAAAGCTAGTCAGACATCATCAAAGAGTAGACGGACATGAAAATACCGGGACTCCTCATAGCCACCGCTAACAGATCATACTGGAGGAGGCTGACAATTGAAGCAGTGGAGGGAGGGATGATGATGATGATGATGATGATGATGAAAGGTAAGGGATCAACTTCTATTCAGAAACTGAAGTATCACATCTTGTAAAGATTTAACAAGGTCTTAAATAGTGGTAGATATATAAACAAGAATTTTTTGCGGCAAATTAAAACATGGCCGCACTTCTTTTATCGCCAATGGACTTTCAGAACGTACGCTGTCATGACTCCTAGCTTTTGTTGCTCTAAATAACTTTTGCTCTCTATAACTCTCCCTTGTTCTAGTTCTATCATCCATTCACTCAAACACATTAACCAGGTTACTCATATTTTCTCTCTGCTTTTCTAACGAAAACTCAGTACAGATCCTGTGACGGTTCTCATACGAAAGTATTATTTCTACGTCCTTCTAGTATTGCAGACTGATGGTCATATTACGTTGAAACATTGGTTCTCGTACAATTACCAAAGTTAAGCAAGGTTAAATCTGGTCAGTACTAGATGAGTTACCACTTTTTAATAGCAGGTGCTGTAAACCTGGATGTACAGGCCATATCACGTTGAAACACCGGTTCTCGTAGAATCACGAAGTTAAACATCTTCAATACGTTACTGGGTTGACCGCTTGTTGGGAATACCAGGTGTTGTAAGATTGGGTGTGCGGGTGTTGTAATGGTCTTACGGCCATATCACGTTTAAACACTGGTTCTCGTACGATCATCGAAGTTAAGCAACGTTGATCCTGGTCAGTACCTAGATGGGAGACCGTTTAGAAATACCAGGCTGCATGTGTGGGTGGTGTAATGGATATAGGCACGGAATGGCAAATCAAAGAACCGAGTACCAATTCCAGTAGGATTCGTTATATTCATTTACGCTGGGAAAGGTCTGAATCCACCTCTCCTCGCCCATACTATGGGTTAATTAGTAGGTTCTTACAATCTAAATATATTTTCTAGCTTTAAATCACCTCTAAAAGTTTGATTAGTCGTAAAAATAAAATCAATCAAAAAATGATCGTATTCCACCTTCACATTTTCTTTTAATAAAATGTGCAACGTATTTTGCCGCTCTTTTTCTCTTGGTTTATTTTGTGACGTACGGTGGCCGTTAATAATTAAGTATAACTCAAGACTTCAATGTTAGGATAAAACAGTTTTTAATTACAATCACAAATAAATACTTAAGAACAAAGAAGTAAAGTCAGCCAAAGATAACCATTTCAGTAAATACCTTCTTAGTAGCGCGGCTCGGCTAAATCAAAACCTAAATCATCGACGCACAATAATTCACACTAATTCGACTGAATAGTTCCACCCAATAATCACTCCAGTCAGTAGCCTGATACCGCTATTTATACAACTGGCAGAAAACATATATTCATAAGTCCATAGTGTCACGCTCGAACCTCGGTGTCGATAGTTATTCATTTTCTTCCTATATGACACAACTATCCATTCACGAGGTTACTCGCTATTTACAATGCTTCTCTTCCCTTCGCTATATTCTGCAAGTGTAAAGTTCTCTAGGCACTCTTTCCTCATTATGTGACCCAGAAATTTTAGCTGCCTCCTTTTGATTGTATCAGTTTCCCTTTATTTCCTATTGTCTTGATACTTCCTCGTTTCTCACTTGTTCTGCCCCTAGTATTCTCAGCATTCATCGGTAACTTCAATTTACCAACTACCCACCGAAAATTCCGTATAACCCCATGTGCAGGTTTTCACACACAAGAGTATTCTTATTTCTACATGCTTCTAGTATTCCTCTATCAGATTTTCTCTCAATAAAATGTACATATTTCTTGTAATGTATGTTTTAAATCTCTCTCCCACTCTCGATCTATATATATATATATATATATATATATATACACCCCACAGCATGCGATTGATAAATTGTCGTCTAAATTACGCAAAAACGAAAATAATACTGACATTTCATTTTAACAGATATATTTACCGGAATTATACAAAAATATCTCGGAATACTAAAGAGTAAATTTATTTAATAAAATCACCATTGGCTTCAACCACGGCCTTCTGAATCTCCTGTAACTCTCTTCTGGACGGTCTCCTTGTTTAAGATGGTGAATACTGCTATAATCCTTGCCTTCAGTTCATCTTTGGTGTTACAAGGAGTTTTGTTGGTCTCTCACTCAACTGCACCCTCCATATAATAACAAATGATTTGCAGTCTGGGGAGTTAGGTGGCCAGATGTAAAGAGTTATGTGGTCGCAGAAATTGTCTGACAGCCATAACTGGGTTCTCTTGCTAGTGTGGCGTCACCATCTTGACCCAAAGCAGCACTACCTTATCAAAGCACTCGATATAGGCCTGCGTATTGAGTCTGAAGCCCTTACCAACAAATTTGGGAGACCTTTTCTTATCAAAACGATCCAAATGAGTTTCCGATCTGTCGTACCTTCATAATCACCATTAGACTCATCCAACTCTTTCTGGATCCTCTGCACTGTCCTCAGATTGACACCTACACACTCTGAAATGTTCGTATTAGAGCTTCCAGCATGATTGCCAAGCAGTATAGTATGCCTTTTTCAAATTTCTGGTGGAGTAATTGCGTCATGGTAAGACAATACCCAACTGACCTACTAAAATGTGCAGTCGACCAAAACAAAAATAAACAACACGCTTGTACAAAATTAAAAATATAAAATGGTGACACTTTTCCCATCGCAACATATATATATATATATATATATATATATATATATATATGTGTGTGTGTGAAAAGTGTGTGTGTATATAAATATAAATAAATATATATATAATTATTTATATATTATATGCGTGGTACTTATTAGAAAGCGCTCAATATCAGAGTTAGATCTAACCAAACATATATATATATATATATAGATAAAAAAATAACTATCTTATCATTCTGTCAGATTCCGTTTCATATTTGATCCCAACTCATATATATATATATATATATATATATATATAGTAATGATACAATATGTTAATCCGTATGGAATTTCCAGAAGGATATAGATCCAGGGAGAGCTCTAGTCAAAAGACAGAGCAAAATTATTATTAATTAAAGAATATCAAACACTTAAAATCCATAAATAATAATTTTTATTTCATGAGAGCTCTAAAACGCAGCTCTCAATCTTCAGGACCTTCAAGCAAAATCATGATTTTGTTTGTAGTTTTTTAGAGCTCCCGTGAAATAAAAATTATTACCTATGGAATTTTAAGTATTTGATATTCTTTAATTAATAATATATATATATATATATATATATATATATTTCCTTCCAGGAAGTAATTTTTCTTTGTTCATTTCTTATATTGCCACCAGTTCTCACTGGTGATAAGTAATATAGGAAGTTAGAAATTCAATTGCTTTCCTCGTGTAATTAATGTATTCAAGGCAAGCAACGTTTTCAATTTAAAAAATATTACAAGGAACAAACATCAGAAAATTTTACCGAGAAAACAGTGTTACTTGAGTTACACTTTTCTTTAGTCCCTGGCAATCAGACTGGCAACAAAATGTAGTATCAGTTCTTCCCATCTCTAAAAGTAATGGGAATACAGCTGCTTCATTATCAGAAAAAATTTGGCCTTCACTGACCAAGCAGTTAGTGCTTTTTTCAGTTGAAACTTATAAAATCTTATAATAAATTTTCAGGAAAATATCTTCCTCAAGTTCAACAATTCTTTTTGCTCTTTCAAATATTGATGAAGACTTGATTCCTAACATTTTATTTGAAATAATATGGAAGGTCAACATCTTCATTATGTCATTATTTTCTCTTACAGTTACATGTGCTATCCATTTTAATTGTTACCCTTGTTGAAAGTCATAAAGTGATGTGGTTTCCTTTATTTGGTACAGTTTTTTGTGATTCTGTAGTGACAGTTTACAAAGTTCAAAGAAGAATAGTCCTCGTTAAGACCTACAGGTTTCATTTTCTCAAAGTCACCTTTAACCATTGATCTGAGAAAGCAGTTGTATACAGCTGACAGTTTAATTATGGGTTGGGCAAACTTTTTTTTCTGGAGGAGCCACATATGTTGTTTGGCAAGTTTTTTGACATTGAAAGTATCAAAAAACACTTGCATAATGAACGTATCAAAAAACACTTACATAATGAATGCTCTCTTCAGGATTGACTAAACAGGTTACTGTTTTAGTTTTGTAGCAACTTGAGGTGTTGGGCAAGACTATTCCTAACATAGCCTATTCTATGTTCAATTTCCTTATCTCCTATACTAAATTTGTTATAACTGATCCATACATTGAAGTATTTGAATAGTTTACTATTTACTAATGATCCTGGATACATACCATCATCACTTTCATTCCAATTTCAGATACAAATCATTTGTTTTGGAAAGATTTAACTTAATTTCTATTTCTTGGAATACTTGGTAGAGGATGATGATTTTTGAACCAAGATCATTCTTATCCCAAATATGGATACCTACGTCATCAACAGTTTACATCTTCATCAGTACATTGGCCTCGGGAAGTAAAGCAGGAACAGTTTTCTATTATTAGATTCATTTGGAATGTTGCATGGAATGCTTAAAATGTGCTACTAGATTGGCATCTATGTCCCACCCATTAACTGTTGAAATGGCTACTCCATCAGTTCCTTTTCTTGCCTTTGATTTACTTGCTTTTACTTTTCTTCCCTTTGATTTACTTGCTTCTCTGATAACTATAATCTTCAAAACTTTAAAGGCAACATCAATCATCATCTATCTTCTTGAATACCATGCATCTTTTGTCCTTTCCTCAATCCTCCCTATACTCAGTCTTTCACTTCTACTCCCTGTAACTCCTGTGTATTAGGGGCATTTCCACCTTGCTTGGGGTGAAATGATTAAAAAAAAAAGGATAATGCATACCCATCTCTTCATATTTGTACTTGTATATGTGTGGAGCATATATAGCCAGCCCATTAAAATTGTGAATGCAATGTACTTAGATGTAAGATTTAAATTTACACTTTTATATGGGTTAACTAGTTGGTTAACTAGGTTTAATTTGTTAAGAACATATGTCTATCATCTTTGTTTTAAATTTTGCACATGAATTAATACCAATAAAAAGGTGTGTATTTGTTGTATGTGTGGGGAGACACAAGTGATCTAGTTTGGGAGCCAAAGTTCGGAAAATACTGCTTTAGGTGTATCCAAGTGTACCATTGTTCTATCCAATCAGATCTTGGGATAAAAAAAATATTTCCTAAGGTCTTGTTTCACATAACTCTTTCTAAGAAGCTACCTATATACTAATGCTTAACAGTACAGGGAATGGAATCTATGATCCGAGTTTAAATTCCAGCCGAAGCGCAAAAGCTCTTGCGAAAGGCATGGACCTATCATTTCTTTCACCAGTTACAGGTTAAATAACAAAGTAAACAGTGCTCTCTAGCCTTGGTTGGCAGACTTAAATTCAAAACCCGGAAGAAGGCAATGGAAAACCATACCACTATCTTTCCCTTGAACAATAATCGCAATGCTGAGTTTACCAATATTAAAAATTAAAAAAGTCGTGGAGAGCTATAACAAACTACAACCTAAAGGGATACAGTACTGAAATGGAGAGAGAATTCCTTCAAGCTCCTTCAGACTCAATGTTGCTTAACTTTGGTGATTGTATGAGAACTGGTGTTTCAACATGGTATGGTCGTAAGCCGTGTGTGTGTGTGTGAACAACTACATTCTTTTAAAAAGTTGAACAGTCCTTTTGTGAGTGTTATAGGTCATTCATTTTAAAAGAAGGAGATGCTCTTCAGG